TTTGCCTCCGATGAGGCCCTTCCCGGCCTCCGTTCGATGCAAATTTTATACCACTGTGATCACTGTTCTTTTTCTCTACAAGTTGATCGGAGTTAAACATCAAAATGCGACTCACACCAGAGGAGCCATTGCACCCGAGAGCACCGCCTGTAAGTCTCGATTTTTCGTGATTTTTTGGCCCCCTGAGGGCCTTAGGGTTGTTTTATCGCAGGGACCGATGCAAGTTTGGCCGAATTCGGCCGAAAAAGGCCAACCCGAGGCGAATCGTTGCCGCAGGCGGCGGCGCCGTCGCTGGAGCACGGTGGAGCTGCTGTGCCGAAATTTCGATATTGGTCGAAAGGAGCCCTAGGTCTGATTTGGGATTTTTGGGACACATGCAGGTACCGGTAGTGCATTTTAATTTTTTGAAAAAAATTTAAAAAAATTAGGGACAGCCCGTAGCCGCACTGTAGAGTCGATTTCAGACCCCGAAACAAGTAAGGACTCCTCACCCTATTTTTTATCACGGGATTAAAGCTTAATAAATAATTAAAAGGTATTTTGAGACTTTATAGATGTATAATTGATTGAGGTTGCCAATGTAGCCCGAGTCTGATACAGTGTTGGTATGTTATTGTTTGATCTAATTTTCAGCATTAAATGCAGCATGATGTTTGATGTAATTATGTTATGGTCTCGTCTGCATGAATCATGGTTTCTTTTATTATGGTTTGTATTATGGTGAATTCGATACTGTGTTGTCTTGTTTGGTGTCAATTACTGGTTTACATGTTGTATATGATTGGATGATTGAGATTAAGAAAAAAGGTAAAAAGGTTATGTGAATTGATAAGTGGAAAATTGGACATTCTGACTAGATATCCTGGGAGATGGTGGGTGGACCGGATCCGTAGGAAACCCTGCCAGGAATGTGGTCTCTCATACCGGACGGGGTATGGAGACCTTATGTGTTTTGGCGCCCATACCGGACGGGGTATGGGGACGGCCCTAGAATCAGGTTGTAATGTTAATGGTTCACGGGTAGCGGGGACCCCCTATGGATTCCCATGGATACTAGTAGGTTGGTAAAAGAGGAAAATATGTTGTTTAATGATTGAAATGCAAAGGCGTGGTAAGTGTTATGTTATAAAGTTTATATGATTTCATGATGATGATAATGTTATTGCCTTCATATGTTGTTTTCATGGATCTCACTGAGGTAAGTGGACAGTAAGGGTTTTTATGTTAATAAACGAGTTTGTTATAAATTATGCTCCACCTTTACTTCCGTGGCAGTGAGATAGTGTGATGTCTTTACTGGGCTGGTGTAGCTCATTCCTTATTTAACCATTTTAGATCAGGAAGATATTGTTCCCGAGCCCGTTCCGCAAGAAGACGGCGAAGGGGACGCATAAAGACTTCATAATTATATTTATAGTTCTTATTTCGAGTATCTCTTTTAGTTAGTTTGTTCCTTCATGTTTTGAGTACGTTTTGGTTATTGTGTAAGGGATATTAATCAAAATTTTTATTACGCTTCCGCATTTGAGATTTTTAATACATACATTTCATTTAAATTTCTGGAGCCGTTACATTAAGCTTATGAGTTATCACAATTTAGTTAAATTTTTATTTAAATGATTTTAGTATCTATAATATATTATAGTATTGTATTACACACTTACACTAAATTTTTTTTATTTTATTTTTCGGCACAAATTTACAACACATTAACATGCCATATTGAATAAAAACATTTCATTATCAAAGGATAAATTAAGCTTGTTATGATTTCTCACACCGACATCTAATAATAACCATAAAGGGAAAGGGAAAGGTATTACAAAGGTAGGGGCCTTATGTTTTGCTCAACAAGGATAGAGTAAAATTGGGATTTGGTAACAAATATAAGCAACAAAATAGTAGATATCGAAATGGGAAGAAGAAAGATCTTATCTCAATGTTTGTGAAAAAAAATCATGAGTTAGTTTCATATATGAAAGAGTTCTTCATGAATTATGATTAGGTGGTAAATATCCCTTTTATTAAGAAAAAGATGGCTTGGTATGGTTACTTAATTCGAGTTTATAAGATATAGAAGTTTGGACGAAGCCATTTTTTTTACAAGAATAGGATTAGGATGGGTGGTGTTGGTGGAAAATTTAAACAAGTTATCTAAAATGAAGAAGTTGATAAGGAAAAGAGGTGTCCAAGGAAATAAAGAGAAGTTGGCCATGCTAATATAACATGTGACATGAGCACTCCAATATAATTAGTGCTGAGTACAAATCCATGATTAGGACTCTTTACTATTGCGTGAAAAAGATGATGGATACATAGGAGAGGGGAGGGTTCAAAAAGCTTTAACATGCCATCCACGTTCGTCCACATTTACAATTTTAAAATAGATGTGACGTAAGATATAAATGTTATATACTATATTAATGTAATCGAGTATTGTTAAAGAAACTTAACAGAGAGAAAAAACTTTTTTGTATTTTTTAAAGTACATAAAGAATTTTAAACAAAAGAAATAGTTCAAGAAAAATATTTGAATATTTTTGTATAGTTCAAGGAATATTTTGATAGTTTAGTGTTTTTGATGTTAATAAGGAGTACCATTGACTATTTCTTTTAACAACCATTTCTTTTCCTTTGTATAAAAAAATTTAAAAAATTGTTTGAACAATTATTT